AATGACTAATGTAGCCAGTAAATAGCTAAAGGCAAATTCTACTTTCCATTAAAACTTTGATATTTGCCTGGTGAATTGAGAACTCTTGGGATAGTGCTTGGCTTCTTACGCCTGGACAAGTGCCATTATAAAAGCAATTGATTTTAGAGAAAAGCAGCATAACTACACCAAGAGTCCTTTAAGTTCCTTAGATGGCTGCAAAATAGAGCATCCCTCTGCTTCTCTGCATTAAAGGAAAGTGAAGCACATAGATTGCATTGAAGTTGGGTGTTACAGTTTTACTCCCACAGCAAGTTTGCTTTGATAGTCATGCCAAAGAATCTCAGGCTGGGGTGAAGTTTGGGGTCTGGGTGTGCTTTGGATTCCTTCATCCACCACTGTGCTGGCAGTGCAAACCTCTGGAAGCCCATGCTCTGCAATGGGTTAGAGTGACCCACCAGGCATGTGGAGGAAGAACTGCCAGGAGGAAATTTAGGGACTGAGGTTGTTCAGCAACAGCATTCATGTAGCACTCAGTGAAAGGTTTAGATGCATCAGACAACTCTCTGACAGATCACCCAACAGCTCTCTAGAGTCTAGGAATTAAAAACTTTAATAATTGTTCTTTCTTCCAGAGCTACAAAACCACTGGTCTTCAGTTAACAATTTGAACAAATAGGCAGGCACAAACACATCACATCTCCCACTCTTAAGTGAGGTATACCTGCACATGCAGGGCTTTGTGCTTTTGTATAATGGAAAAGGAATGTAAAAATAACAGTGTGATAATTCAGTTTGGTAGTCAACAGATAACTTAAGATCTTCAGTAATATGTCACCTTAAAAGAAATATATCCGATATATTTATATATATATACCAAAAGAAGTATATCTCAGTATTTTGCAGGGAGATGAATGTAGTCTGGTACAATGGGGGCTGATTTCTCAACATGATTGTATCTTTCTTTGTATGGCTTGCCCTTCAGATTTTTACCACAGCATTGATAAAATACCCAGGAAATAAACCCCTGTAAACTATTTGGTGACTGACCCAATAATTGAAAATAAAGGAGTAGAGAAAGATTCCAGATGTTGGGAAGAACATTTCTGAGTCAGCATTTTATTCAGACCCTGTAGGTGCTTAAATAAGCAGCAATTGTTAAAGTCACCCTAAAAAAGAAGAGAGTGCATGTTTTCTTGTCTGTCCACTCATAAACAAGTGCTTAATTTGTTCTCTTAGCTATTCTGTAAATATATATAATGGGTACTGCTCACTATAACAATAGACACGAGTTCGGGTTTTGTGCCATTACATTCTGAGGAGACATCTGCAAGCTCAGTCTATACCTCCAGGTGCTCATGAGTTGCCCTCACCAGTTATTTTCAGTGTCAGAACATAGAAACAGCCCAAGTCAAACTTGGAAGCTTGAGCACGAAGACCTGCATGGTGATAATTAAAAAAAAAATCTCATTGTAAATTCTGTGTCTGGTGGTGCTTTCTGATCGCTGTACATCAGCTGACAAGCACGGCCTCTCTCCCTGCTGTTGATAATGACTTGTTCTGTGATGCTTCTACCTTAGGGATTTACTTGGTATTAATCTTCTCTATATGCTCCATGCCTGCCTATCCTTCCTGTCATATAAGCATTGCTGGCTATATACAGTAATCTACAGAGCCAGAGGGACTGTTGAGACTCATTAGGGAGAACTAATCTACTCATGTGGGAAGGACTGATCTGTGCTTGGTCTTGAAACCAGCAGGAATCTTTCCACTGATTTAACAAAGCTTGGTTCAGACCTCCACCTTTTCTCTTGCATGTGAGCAAGTTGTTACTGATATGACCTAATCTTTTAAGATATATCCTTGTGTGTGAAAACTTTCAGGGCTGAAATTATTTCTCCTAGTTTATGGGCAGCTTTTTGATACTAGAAGCAAATAAATTGCCTTAGTGACTAAGCAATGTTTTTCAAATAAAAGTTCAAATTCTACAAACTGTGCAAACAGAAGCTCTATAGTTTGCATGGGAAAAGACTCTAACATATGACTGCTTGTTTGCTTGCTCCCTGGCCCAGAATCTGCTAGGCACTTCTGATTCAGCTCTGAGTGCTATTGCGTAAACACATAAACCGAAGTCCCTTTCTCCACACCTCCTCATTCACTGCCCTGTGTGGTGCTGGATGCTGCAGGAGGCAAGGAGGGTTGGGCAAAGACTTTTCTCAACAGCAGAACAAATGAATAAGCTTTTTCTGAAAACTGATTTGAAACCAACTGAATGGGAAGGAAAATAAAACTGGGGAAACCAAGTAGGGTGGTAGGATGGAGCTGGAAGTGATCTGGCCCTGTTCAATTGAGCGGGCCACGGCACTGGCAGCCCATCCCAGCCAGGCTGGTGACACTTGTCTGGCTGCTCCCCACCAGCAGCTGCGGAATTGTTAGTCCATCCTCTGCTTGGTGGGCAGCTCTCTCCCCTTTAGTTTCTGTTGCTGCTCGTTTTGGCTTGGGCCGGGAAATTCTTGCTTCTTTTGCCAATCTGAGGGCCACACCAGCCCGAGCTGCAGTGTTGGTTGTTACTGCACCTTCAGCACTCTCAGGGCAGTCAGGAGATTTCAACAGGTGGCTGGCAGAGATTTCCTCTCCAGTATGAGCCTGGCAGATGTGCCTGCTGGGCCTACCTAGTTCTGTCTGGCCTGATTCTAATGACAGGCTCTGCAGCATGGTTGAAATGACCACAAAACAGCACTCTACCAGTATGCAAAGCCTGCTGCAGGGGAACATTTCTCAGCAGTGTCAGGTCAGTCCTCCTATTGTAGGTAGCAATCCTTTGCCTCACAAATGTAGGTGAGAAAAACATAAAAGGAGTTTCTGTTTCTCTTTACTGCTGTTTTGTTTGTTTTTCTCAGCAAACTACTTTTCATCTATAGAAAATAATTTCAGAAAGCTGAATAGATTCTGCTTAGCGTCCCGGAAAACACTGAAATGAGGAATTTTTCCAATAAGTTCCCTTTCTCACAGAGGATATTCTGACATGCTCAGATAACAGCATGCAAGGGAGCTTAACAGAAGAGAAACCGCATAAGCAAAATGTGAGCCTCATATGTAGCTTTCCTTTAAAAGCATGGCATGAGTCAGACTTTCATCTGCAGAAAGCAGCACTTGACTGATTTTCCATTGACTCCTTAGGTGTATTTTGTAATGAGATCCTAGAAAGGATGTGGGAAAAATTACCATGCTTGAAGCATAACATTGGTAAAGGAAATTTGGTTCTCGAGTGGAAAGCAAGAAGCTAACGTTATTCCTGATGGACAAGTGAAGGCATTGAAGTGCACCTTTGTGTGCTTGCTCCAGCAAGCTAATTGGAGCCAGGTCCTGTGGGTGCAGTCCCCCAGGATGTTCTGGCCTTGTGGAAGTCAGGGGTCTTCTCCTAAACAAGTCCCTTCTAGTCCCTTAAAACTTATGTCTAAATATTCACCTGCCTCATAGAGTCTTGTGAGCAGGACAGGTTTTGATAGCCATAGCAGAGCACACTCTGGTTTCCTCATTTCCAGAAGTCACTGGCTTTTGTTGCTAGCATTTGAGTAAATGAGGCATCTGGTTCCAGGAGAGAAAATATCAGCAGAATCTGGTCCTGCATACAGTGAGAAGTAATACATTGAGCAGCAGATATTTTTCCTGCATTTTCTAGTTAAATGACATATTTACAGTTAGTGTTCCTTATCCCAAATTCTGTTTGTATTTTCCTTTCATTGTTAACCTTTGCAGTGCTAGGGTCTCACAGCAGCTGACAGTATACTTGTGGTCTGACAGGGTCTGAATTAAACCAGCTAAACTATAATTTCTAAAGATAAAGCTCAGAGTAGGTGGTGTCATATCATACTTTGTTTCACTAATCGCTTTTGGCTGAGTAATCTTTGTGGGGGGAAAAAAGAGCTTTAGCTTCATAGAAAGGCTCTGTGTAAAATGACACCAGGGCTGTCTGCTAAGTTCAGAAGATAAGATTCATATCCCTGTGGCCCAGTGATGCCCTCTCTGTAGGAGCCAAGAATTTCACCCACTGAGATGGACCTATCTCTTGCCTGGAAAGCTAATAGCTCATGCAGACTGGGACAGGGAAGCTGCTAGCCAACCAGACAGCCACACAGCATCCTTTGGATTAAATGTTAAGTAAGGAAAACTTGGTTTTCTGTCACTTTTATTGACATAAATTTAGTTTTAAAATGAAATTTACTACAGCAATGTCATCAATACCTCAGTAAGAGTAGCCATTTAAGAGGTATTCACCTCAAACCTGATCTAGAAGGAATAACTTTTTCAGATAACTGAGATACGAATTAAATGACCCTACTAAAGCTTAAGCATAAGCTGCACTGAGAAAAGTAGAATTGATATGTTGCATGCTCCATAGAAACTAAACTGAAAACCAGCACTATTTGGATAGCCACCGGGTAACTTGCTCTTTAGCCTGATCATGTCACAGCAAATTCACCAGCATGAGAAAAGCATTTGTTTCATTGCTGAGTAGTTTCCATGGCAGTATGAAATGGCTTCCTGAGCAATGTGCAGTTACAGACTTGATGCGGGGTCTCTGCAGTTCTCAGGCACTTTGCCATGTTTAATTCTAGTGGAGTCGGGTCTTAACAGGCACTTGTGTCAGGAATTGAGCAAGAGCAGCACCACTCCACAGGAATTACTCAGCATCTCACAAAATGCAGGGCTATTATTTTTATGCCAAGAAATAGCTCCCAGACTTGAAGTCTTGCAAGATCAGATTTTTTTTTTTTTTAATACCCGTCCCGTCCCCACCCCCGCCTCACCCCCCCCACTTTAACTGTCCACTACCTTAATTGCAGGTATTGGGCCTCTCTAATTGGATCCACAGTCTATGTTTGTAGGTACAGTTCCTTTACAACAGAGGGGTAACGCTGGACTTGAGATCCTCAAGATTTAGCATGCTGACCAGGAAGATGCCTCACCTAAGTCTGGCAAAGTTGTGTGAGTAAGAAGGAGTGTGAATCCCAAACAGCTCAACAACATGGGCACTTTATTTTGCTTTCCAGTTAGGATTGTAGCAAGGAAAGTTGACCACAGTTTCCTTGGCCTCAAAACTGAATAGGGGTGACTGCTAAATAAAGCAATATCAGGAGGAGGATTTTCTGCCCTCCTTTCTAGTTTATATTGCAAGACTACATTTCTCTCAGAGGAAGGCCTCATTTCTATTCCCTCCTCTGCCTGAGATAACTGAACTCTTCCTGCTGTAGGGACTTAAAGCCACATTCCCCATTTTCCTGGGATATTTTTGTCTTAAGGATCTTTGAGAAAACTGGAGCCCCCAAGGGCTCTCAAACTGAGCACCTTAAAGGTGAAAGAACTGAAAATCCTAGTAATTTTTGAAAGTTTAGTAGTTCCTTTGTTCTTTCTGGTTTACATGTTAAAAATTAAATTATATAGTGGGTTTTTAAATAGTAGCAGATATTGGAGAAATGTGTCTATTTCTTACATTTAAATGCATATTTCATATATAGTTTGTATCATGCTGATATAAAGGACATATATTATAGAATCAGCCTATTCCATGATGAGGAATATATTGGAAAATGTTTACTTTGCATGGGAAACTGCAAGCTCTACTCTGTTCCGCAGCAGTAGGAAGTCTTGTATAACAGCTGGCATTCTTGAGAGGGGATTCCAAAACAACTTAGCATCCCTCCCAACAAGGTAATGTGCACGTGGATGGAGGCTTGTTAGGGCATGCTCCATGCACTGAACAACCGGTGAAATGTCCTTGTTAAGACAGATCCTGGAGAGCTTTTGTTTCTTTGCTGCATCTGTAAAGCTCAAAAAAAAAATCATTTAGTGACAGGCAGGCAAGGTGACTCTTCCCCCCACACTGATTTGTGCAATTTCACTAACAAATTGTTATTTCTTGTGTCTCCTGACACAATAATTTGTAGCAGTTTCTGAGGACTAAGTGTGCATCCGTAAGGTCCTTGTGATATAGCTGACCCCAGGAACAGTCTAGTTACCCTTGGTTGTGGAACAGTCATGGCAAAACAGGCTGTATGGTCTGAGAACAGGTGACCAGCATTGACAGTAGCTCAGAATAAACATAACTATATAAGAGGCAAAGGGAAACAGAAATGCTGTAGTTATAAATGGGTCTCTTATAGTAGGGAAATTGTGTTGTGGAAAATTGTGAAACACAATTGTAAAGAAGAAATTTGAGGGACAAGAAAGTCCAAGGATCAAAAGGCAAGCAGCAAACAGGCTTAGCAAGTGTCTGTCAGACAGGTCCCGCATGGCTTCATCACCACTGAGGCTGGCAGAAGCAAAGGGAATTGATCCTTATTTGATTACTAAATAAATAAAAAATGACAGAAAAACACATTGAGCACATTGATTACATCATCAGATAAAATTTTTCTGTTTGGGAGTTTGCTCAAAAGCTTCATGCCAACATGAATAATTGATCTTGAACTGAGGTTTGAATAAAGCTTCCCAGAACAAGTCTTTGATGCAGATAGCCATATTGTGATGCAGATGCATGTGAAGAGTAACTTTTCAAATCACAGTCTTTCCAAAAAGTCAGAATTATTAGAAGATATAATGTTATTTTGCAAGGCTTTCTCAGCAAGAAATGCATTGCTTCTTTTGACACAAATGTCTGGAAATTGCCTCACCTTTCTGAAAATAGTCCTCTCCATACTGTGTTTTAATATCAGGGGGAAGCTTGTTCCAAATAACCTCCTTCTCCTTCATAACATTTTCTGGATTGGATAATGTTGTTTTAAACAGTCCTGGTTGAATGCAACAAACCTTAACTCCAAAAGCTGCCATATCTCTCCTGCAAAGACACCCGTATGATTTAATTGCATTAGACATTATTGTTAACACTGTGTGATTTTTTGCTGTACTGACACTTTTATTTCTGTCTTTAAATGGCACGCCAGCACACAGATACTGTGAGGTTTGTTCATGGTTGGGAAGTTTCAGCTTGTTACCTCTAAATGAGAGGGATGAACTCTCTTACCTGCTTCATAGAGTGAGAACATACAAGGGCAGTGACTGTGCAGTAGCTGGCATAGCGTATTTAACATCCTAGTTCACCTTGCACTAGCTCATTAGTTATCTGACTTGTTAGTAAGACTGGCTGACTGCCTAAATGCAAGTATGTAGAACCATTTTATATCTTGGGGAATCCCTTTTAACCTCTGGCTGATGCTCCAGATTGGTACAGTTCCCTCTGGCCGATGCATCTCATATCTTTCAGTCCTGTGTGAGTGTCCCAGTATCTAAAATGGCACTATGTATTTAGGTACCCAAATCGCTTCCCACCTGTGTTACAAGAAGCCATGGTGACCCCCAGGATTGGCTTGCTATGTTTTCTAGATGTCTCTAATGATCTGTATAATTAAGAGAAAACACTTTGGAGAGCAAAGCTTGAACAAAAGTTACTGTCATGCAATAACTCATGGTATGTATTTTTTCTGGATGGGAGGCTGCTGGAAATTTCTAGGTGCGCTTTTCAATTAAGGGAGTTAGATTCATACTACAAAGACATTTCAGTTCTCGTGAGTGGAGCTTCCTCTGCAACAAGGTCTTGGTGCACACTAAGATAGGTTAGCTGTGAATCTATAAGAGTACTAACTACGCTGCAGTAATACTTGAGGACAGCTTGTGTGCCCAACAGGCTTTGTACCATTTCAAAAGTGGCATAATCTGTGTTGAACAAAAGAAGAAGAATTAGTCCAAAGTGTCTGATGTTTTTCAATTTATACCAAGTGCCAGGATTGTGAAACAGCTCCTATTCTGCATGTGCCAGTTTTTAGTTAGTGTATGAGCCTTAGGGAAAAAAAAGAGTGGTCTTTTCTCATAGTGAGTGTTATACCTTAAGCTGTCATTAAATCCTTCTACCCCAAACTTGGAAGGAAAATAGCCTCCACCACTGAATGCTAGCCGACCTCCAACACTGGATACATTTACTATCCTTCCCTTTGCTTTTTTTATTAAGGGAAGCATGTTTATTGTAACATTTATGAGTCCAATTAGATTAACTTCAATTGGTTCTCTAAAGTGCTCAATATCCAACCAGTCTGTAGGAGCTGATGGCCCCATAATCCCAGCATTATTGACAAGTCCCCAGAGACCTGTAGGGAAAAAAGAAGAAAGTCAGGAAGCAAATTTTCATCTGTTGTGTCAGATTAATTGAACTGGGTGAGACTTGACAGAAAATCAGTGAGGGACCAAGAAGGCAGTGAAGATTTGGAGGAATTGCTTGAGAATGTCCTGCAGCAGTCAGGTTTATTCTTTGTGTCCAGGTTTTTCCACCATGCTTTCCATCACCCTTTGTGTAGCCTTCCCCTGCCAAAGCATTTTGGGCATCAGGTGGTGTTGGCTTTTTGTGGGAGAAAGGGCAGTAGAGGAAGACCAGAGGTATGGCAAAGAGCAACTATATTGGGTGACAGGAAATGTGTAAAAAAATAAACCTTGTCCTTGGTACAGGTAGGGTGTCCTGAAACATGGGTAAGTGTACCCTGGTTCTGAGATAGGTGAGGTGCCAGGACAATAAAGAACAGCTCTTGATAACGAAATAAATTTAAAAATCCTTCTCAAAGATTTGAAAACAACATGGGAACTGTGTGACAGAGAAGGCTTTTGCTATTATTTTTCCCCCAACTTACTTTTTTGTTGTAGCAAGAGAATTTAGGTCTCACATTGACTGACATGTCCCAACTGGGTGGGAAGGGTTTTTTAAAAATTAACAGCCAGATTCAAAAAATGAGGTGGAGGCAGGGGAAAAAACATAGATTGATTTGAAAACCATTTCTGAGCCCTCAGAAGTAGGAGGGGAGGGGAAAATACAAAAATGTAAACACAGTTCTTCTCTTGTATCAGCTGTTAGAGTTGTGTGAATGAATGCTTTTGCTGGTCTGACCTTCCTCATAGTTTATCTTGGTGTGAAAAAATCACTTTTGGTCTGAAACCCAGAACAGTTTCAAATAAAAGCAATTTGGCAATTTATAAGCAATTTTATGAAGAGATGAAAGGGCAAATGGAGACTGGAATTTAGCATTAAGTATAATTGGTACTATGGCACATTATAATAGATCAGATTTAAGAGTCAAAGTTAGCAGAATCCAGCCCATAGGATGTTGGGTCTTTGTAAACTCTACTGCAATACCATTCCTATTGAAATCAATTAGCATCAGTAATGGCAGCAGAATCTTGTCTTGCACAACTTGTTGCATTAGAGATATGGAATTTTTCTATTTTTCACATGGTCTGCAATCAATACTCCAAAAGAGTTATATTCAGATTTCTTCAATAGAGTTCATATGTAATTTTTACTTTTGATAGAATGAGTGATTACTTACAAGTCATTTATTACATTAATTCAACTTTTAAAATAAAACCTCTTTAAGCTAGTTAAGCAGAATTTATTTCTTTTGTTCCCTAGATGGGTAACACAGTATGGGAGGTGCTGAGCACTTGTGCCATAACCCAGATAAACATGTGAGTGGAAACAGTCCCAGTGAAGGTTCCAGGAACTGGATTTCTATTCTGACAATGATGTATCAATAAGCTTGACTTCTTGAGCACATGCCCAAATATTTGCCTAGATGTATAAAACATCTCCCTAGTGAGATCATCTTCCATGTTTCTGGAAGTTGACAAGACATCCACACACACTTGTCAAATGTCAATTAAAATAAGCTGTGAAGGTAACATGGTGTTTTTAGGAAAACTCTACTTTTTTTTTTTTTTTCAAGACAGCCAGATATCCTGGCACTCACCTTCTGACTGAACTTCAGCTTTGACTCGTGCAGCCACTTTCTTAACACTGTCTGAATCTCTCACATCTAGCAGCACTGTCTGAAGCTGCTTCGAGGTCACAGCTTTTAACTCTTTGGCTCCTGTGTCAGTCAGACAGCTGGCAAAAACACGGAACCCCTTTTTATCAAAAATCTTTGCTGCCATGTTTCCAAATCCTGTGTCACATCCTGTGATGAATATATATTTTCCAGCAAGATTTGTAACCTTCATCCTGTCTCTTGCCCTCCAATGCCACCACAGAGCAACAATACCAAGAAAGAGTGATACATAAAAAAGCATTTTTTTACTGAAGTCTTCTGGACATGAACTCCTGAAAAAAAAAAAGAAAAAAAAAAACTGCTAGTTTTTAAGGGATTGTTAGTTGGTTATTTTGTTGGAGTTTTTTTGTTCGTTTTTTTTGTTTGTTTTTTTGTTTGTTTGTTTGTTTTTTGAGTTGGCTAACTGCAACTATTTGGAGAAGGAGGCACAATTCAGAGCAGTTCCCTCTTTGTGCTAAAACAGACAAAAAAATTCCTTCCTTGAGCAGAAATAAGAAGTGGAGTTACACTGTTATAAGGTTACAAAGAATAATTCATACTAGGTTACTGCTGCCAGGTCAGTAAGGTCCCATTGAACATATCTGGGAGAAACACTGACTAGAAAAGGGTAGCAAAAATTACATATTTGCATGGAAACCAACAGAAATGTCTGAATATAGTGTCAGTTCATAGAAAATTAAAGAGTAAGCCTGGGGCGAGCTGGCAACAAAAGTTCAAGCAGGAACAGCAGGACCCAGAACCTTTCTCCTTACTGTGGATACTTAAGCAATGCTAGGTGTTTTACTAAAACCTTTGGTTGTCAGTGCCAGATTCTCAAGAAAGAGGGTAGCAAGTACTGTCATTTTGTCTCTCAAGAAATAAATTCTCACCAGCTAGACTGTGGGAGTGTGCACGTGATGCCCGAGCATAGGAAGGAGGATGCAGGTTGGAGCACTTCATTTGCCAGAGTGAAGCTCAGGCAGTGTGAAAACATCAGTACTGAAAAATATGTTTGGGAAGAGCCTGCATATCTGGGATTATACTCCAGCTGATTTACTAGTGAACTTATAAGTAACTATTGATGATGGATGAAATTCTGCTTTGAGAAAACAATTCAGTTATACTTCTTCATGAGTGTTCATGGCCTGGAAAACAGGAGATGCCTAATGCAATTGACTAAAAAAATAAGATTGTTTACAGATAATCCATCTCTGCAGGACAAGATGCAATGAAGTTGCATTTTCTATGGCCACAGTCTCCTCTAGCAAAACTTAATTTAAAAGAAAATTGCAAACACCTGACATGTTTTTAAGGATCATAATAGGAACAGGAACACTGCTTTTGTTTTCTGCACATAGGACTCCTTTCTGCTGTAACATGGGAGGTTCAGTATATCTCCATTTTTATTGCAAGCCCTATGGCTGCTCATGGTGCTTGTTTACATAAATATGTATGCTAGTGAAATGCAGCTTCTTGTGTTGGCTCAAAGTTACCCAGGGAGTTGCAAAAGTTGCAATGCAGAGATGCTAGTTTTTGTTGCTTAACTTCCTCTGCAGCATCTGTAGTGAAGTGAATATGAAGAAGTGGTTAGGTAACTGCCTTCCCTGTGTAGTATTTCAAAGTTCCTTTAAGACAAGGAAATTCTTCTCTCAGCATAGGCATGCATGCATAGGAGACCCACCATAGCGGCTGGCTTTCCTTCTCTTATAACCCTTATTAAAATTACTGTTCTTTTTGTAACACTCCTTGCTCTCCTTGGAGTTGCCAAATTCCTTCGCAGGTTTCTTTCGCCTGCAACTGAGTAGCAGTCTGGGCAGTCCCTGGCTGTTACACATCAGAGCCGGGGCCTTGTGCATGCTAAAGCCTCTGCAGCGTCTGGCCACGGTGGCAAACCAGGGGGGTCCAGGGACAGAGACAGTTTGAAAAGAGCCCCTCCAGGGAAGAAAGACAGAACTGGGTTTCATCACGCCCTATGTCAACTATAAAATAGATATAAAGTATAGCTAGTAAATTAACATAAGCAAAACAGAGGTTTGGCTTGATCTGTAATCTGGTGAACAAAAAGAAAAGCCAATGTAGTTAGTCTGAGGGAAAAGGCCTGGTTTTGCCATGACAACAGGCATGTCTACAAACATGGGACTAAGATGATGAGGGTTAACTTCTGGTCCCTGTGATCTTTAATCAATGGGTCAGTGGGACTTTTCATTTAATTAACAAAGTGCTGAAATTACAAGGTTTTCCCTTAGAGTGCTTTCTACAAGCTGCGCTTCCAGCTCCAGCCTGCCAAGGAGACTGACAGGTCCAGCGCCTGCCCACAGTGGACCGGCTTTGCAATATAAAGATCTAGCTCCAATTTTTTATAGAGGCCACAAATCAAATAAGGAAAAAAAAAAAAAAAAAAAAGGGTCATCAAGAAAAAATGTGTTTCTCTGGTTTCCAGGAGGGGGAGTGATAAGAAGCTCTCAGTCAGAAGCCCCAAAGGCATTTGAGTGGTGGCATTGGAGAGTGGTCGGAAAAGTGGAGGCTCAGGGGACAATGAGGCTCATGGGGACATGCCACCTTCTGGCAGGATCAGGGGGTGGGGCTGTTTGCCCAGAGGGTGAGGCAGGCACTCTCAGAGATGTCTTTTTGAAAGAAGATTTATTTTAACAGGTCAAGTCACTTAATTTTGATATAAAAGTTTTAGTTTGCATTTAAAATTTACAGAAGTGGGTTTTGTTTGTTTGTTTGTTTGTTTTTTTTTTTTTTTTGTTTTTGTTTTTTTTTTGTTTGTTTTGTTTTGTTTTGTTTTGTTGTTTTGTTGTTTTTTTGTTTTTTTTTTTAGCAGCGTAGTTGCTATCTCTACTATTTTTATTTGCACCAGTGTTTGGAATGGAGAAAAAATCCTTACTGGCTGCCAGACTTGGGTAGGATCAACAGGATAAGTGAGTGCATGTCCTGCTTCTGGTACTTCCCAAGAGCAGATGGTGAGAGGCTAACTACAGAAACAAGGTGAGTTAGAAGTCTGTCTCTTGCTGCCTACCTCCCAGCCTTCCTGCTGTACCCACTCCAGGTGGTATTTTGCAGTTTCAGTATAGCACATTTTTGTGACCAAGAAATAAATATAACATGACTTAGTGTCTCTGATTGTGATTTAGACCATGGGTGAAGAAATAAGTTTATTTCTTTTTTTTTTTTTTGTGTTAGCGTCCCACCTGGAAGTATCAGCTCCCAACAATCACCAGCTTGGACTTTTTACTTTCCATAACAAGAGAAAGTCACATTCACAAAAATGTCCTCATTGTGCCTGGAGGTACTTTCCTTATTTCACTGTAAGGAAAGTGTCAGCTATTCCCCATTTCAGTATGAAGAAATGTAGTTTGAGTGTAAAAAAAAGGAAATTGACTTCTTATCAATGAACAGCTTTTTGCTTGCAGTAAACATGATAAAACTCAGCCATCAAAAGAGGAAGTTTGCTCTTAGGTGCAAAAAAAGCAGGTTTCTGTGTAGAACACTTGCTAAAGATCTTTGGAAAGGACAGTAACTTTTTCAGAAGTCATGCTGCATTGAAGGAAATAATGTACATATGCACCTCATGGGATTGACAAAATTTCATTTTTAATAGCATAAATCACAAATCAGTAAACTCAGTGTAAATTCACTTTGCACTCTACAAAGTGAGTACCAAGTCATGTTTGTATAACTGCTGTGGTGCCGAGAAAATAATGAAGACCCAGCATGTGGGTAGTTGCCAACCTGACCAACTGTGCGTATACTGACTTTTCCTGCAGCTTCTCACTCCTCCAGTCTCTGCCCTGGCCAGAGTCCCGCAGAGGAGTTTGTTCTCTTCCAGCCCAATTTTGTTGGTTTTGTCCTCTAGATACCTTTATAACTGTGATATTTTTTTAAGATTAATTTAATAAAAAGTATTTAACAAGTGACACTCCAAGAATAGATGTGGAAGTCATCTGTCTAACAATTCAAGCTGCGAATCGTATCTGCTTTATTTCAAAAGTCCCTTAACTTAAATTGGGGTACAAAAAGAGATCTGTAACTTGCTTTTCTTTGGAGTTCACTTTACTTTCACCTTCCCACTATTTAGGTGAAAAAATTGTGATGGCATGTGGAGCAAAATAACAAAAAATATTTTCAAAACCTGGGAGAAATAAAGTAGCAAACAAAGTGTTTTCCATTGTTTTTCAGTGGATCAGGGGACAGGAAGATAAAGCACCATGTAGAAGCAGAAGTATACTACAATACTGAGATCCACATTACACTTCTGACAGACTGAGGTGCTATCACTGTAAGTGGCACAATCAAGATAGGATTACACTCAAGTGAAAAATCCAGTGTCTGGCTTCTTGGCCCCAGAACCACTGTATGCTAGCTACAGAAATAAATTTGGCTATGAATGTTTAAAAAATAAATTAATGAAGCATAAGAGCCGTCTGCTCCATGCCTTCTGTCAGGCAAGAGAGTCCAGACTGCTGTATTTGCATTCCGACTTTAGTGCCAAACGCAGAAACAAGCTGCTCACCTGGAGTCTCAGCCTGCAGTGGCAGACTGAGCCTATTCACCTGGTGGAAAACTGGGGTCCCCTACTCCTCCATAGCTGTGAGCACTCAGTGCTAAATTTCTGGCTACCTTTAGGAAGCTTTGGAAGCATTTTATTTGATTGCTTCTCCTAGCTGTTGTCAATACTGGAATAAAGATCAATAGGTTATAGGCTACAGCTTAGAGCTGAGGAGTCCTGTGCCAAAAGAGCTCATGGACTTTTCGTTTCTTACTGAAAAATTATGTGTATGGGAATAACTAAGATTCATTTTTATTCATTTCCTCTTATGAACTGTTGGAACAAATCCAGAGAAGAGAAGATAACTTCATTTGGAATGGTAATATGCAGGAATAAACAGCAGCTCAAATCGAGGGAAGAAGCAGTTATTTAACTGTGTTTGGCTCAGTGATTGGTGATCTTTTTCTTTCCATGCAAAGAGGTATTAAAATGATGTGAGCTGTAAGGAAAATGTTTCCCTTCAACTTGGACCATGACTGAGGGGAATTATGTTCCTGACAGTTTCACGCATCATTTGTGAACTAAATAGTATCTATTACCTACCAAAATTCAGAGATTTTGTATTTGTCCCCTATGAGAATTCAAGGATGAATCTGTCCTCAGTCTCCCTTATGTACTGAAGTCCTGCTCTCTATTATTTTGGTTCAGTGACTAATTCTTCATTCACTGGAGGGCTGACTCTAGCAACAGAAACCGAGTTTTCCCTTCCCAGGACATCAGAAGGAAACAAAGTATAGGAAG